ACTAAACCAGGACCAAACCAGGACTGAACCTGAACTAAGCCAAGCATAAACTAAGGTTAAACCAGGACTAAACCAGGACCAAACCAGAACTGAACCTGAACTAAACCAAGCATAAACAATGGTTAAACCAGGACTAAACCAGGACCAAACCAGGACTGAACCTGAACTAAATCAAGCATAAACAATGGTTAAACCAGGACTAAACCAGGACCAAACCAGAACTGAACCTGAACTAAACCAAGCATAAACTAAGGTTAAACCAGGACTAAACCAGGACCAAACCAGGACTGAACCTGAACTAAGCCAAGCATAAACAATGGTTAAACCAGGACTAAACCAGGACCAAACCAGGACTGAACCTGAACTAAACCAAGCATAAACAATGGTTAAACCAGGACTAAACCAGGACCAAACCAGGACTGAACCTGAACTAAATCAAGCATAAACTAAGGTTAAACCAGGACTAAACCAGGACCAAACCAGAACTGAACCTGAACTAAGCCAAGCATAAACTAAGGTTAAACCAGGACTAAACCAGGACCAAACCAGAACTGAACCTGAACTAAACCAAGCATAAACTAAGGTTAAACCAGGACTAAACCAGGACCAAACCAGGACTGAACCTGAACTAAGCCAAGCATAAACTAAGGTTAAACCAGGACTAAACCAGGACCAAACCAGGACTGAACCTGAACTAAACCAAGCATAAACAATGGTTAAACCAGGACTAAACCAGGACCAAACCAGGACTGAACCTGAACTAAACCAAGCATAAACTAAGGTTAAACCAGGACTAATCCAGGACCAAACCAGAACTGAACCTGAACTAAACCAAGCATAAACTAAGGTTAAACCAGGACTAAACCAGGACCAAACCAGGACTGAACCTGAACTAAACCAAGCATAAACTAAGGTTGAACCAGGACTAAACCAGGACCAAACCAGAACTGAACCTGAACTAAACCAAGCATAAACTAAGGTTAAACCAGGACTAAACCAGGACCAAACCAGGACTGAACCTGAACTAAACCAAGCATAAACTAAGGTTAAACCAGGACTAAACCAGGACCAAACCAGGACTGAACCTGAACTAAACCAAGCATAAACTAAGGTTAAACCAGGACTAAACCAGGACCAAACCAGGACTGAACCTGAACTAAGCCAAGCATAAACTAAGGTTAAACCAGGACTAAACCAGGACCAAACCAGGACTGAACCTGAACTAAGCCAAGCATAAACTAAGGTTAAACCAGGACTAAACCAGGACCAAACCAGAACTGAACCTGAACTAAACCAAGCATAAACAATGGTTAAACCAGGACTAAACCAGGACCAAACCAGGACTGAACCTGAACTAAGCCAAGCATAAACAATGGTTAAACCAGGACTAAACCAGGACCAAACCAGAACTGAACCTGAACTAAGCCAAGCATAAACTAAGGTTAAACCAGGACTAAACCAGGACCAAACCAGGACTGAACCTGAACTAAACCAAGCATAAACAATGGTTAAACCAGGACTAAACCAGGACCAAACCAGGACTGAACCTGAACTAAGCCAAGCATAAACTAAGGTTAAACCAGGACTAAACCAGGACCAAACCAGAACTGAACCTGAACTAAACCAAGCATAAACTAAGGTTAAACCAGGACTAAACCAGGACCAAATCAGGACTGAACCTGAACTAAACCAAGCATAAACTAAGGTTAAACCAGGACTAAACCAGGACCAAACCAGGACTGAACCTGAACTAAACCAAGCATAAACTAAGGTTAAACCAGGACTAAACCAGGACCAAACCAGGACTGAACCTGAACTAAGCCAAGCATAAACTAAGGTTAAACCAGGACTAAACCAGGACCAAACCAGGACTGAACCTGAACTAAGCCAAGCATAAACTAAGGTTAAACCAGGACTAAACCAGGACCAAACCAGAACTGAACCTGAACTAAACCAAGCATAAACTAAGGTTAAACCAGGACTAAACCAGGACCAAACCAGGACTGAACCTGAACTAAGCCAAGCATAAACAATGGTTAAACCAGGACTAAACCAGGACCAAACCAGAACTGAACCTGAACTAAACCAAGCATAAACTAAGGTTAAACCAGGACTAAACCAGGACCAAACCAGGACTGAACCTGAACTAAACCAAGCATAAACAATGGTTAAACCAGGACTAAACCAGGACCAAACCAGGACTGAACCTGAACTAAACCAAGCATAAACTAAGGTTAAAACAGGAGTAAATCAGGATTAAACTTGAACTAAACCAGGACAAAACCTTGACTAATCCAGGACTGAATTTGATCTAAACTCAGACTAAACCAGGACTAAACCAAGGCTAAACCAGTTCTAACCCAGGGCTAAACATGAACTAAACCAAACCTAAACTAATGTTAAACCAGGACTAATACAGAATTGAACTTGAACTAAACTAAGTATCAACTAAAGTTAAACCAGAAATAAACCAGGAGTAATCCAGGACTGAACTTGAACTAAACCAAGCATAAACTAAAGTTAAACCAGGACTAAACCAGGACTAAGCCAGAACCAAACCAGGACTAAACTAGGAACACCCCAGTTGCAAGAACTAAACTTGGACTAAATTTGAAATGAACTTGGAACCTAAACCAGATCTAAATCAAGACTAAACCAGGAATCAAGATTTAAACAGGCCTAAACCAGGACTAAACCAGGTCAAACTTCAAAGCAGGGGCTTAACTGGAATATTAGTTTAAGTCAGAATTGAATTGTCGTCTTTGAAGCCACAGTCTGAGTCTGGTTCACCTAAACACTTAAAATTAGATCAGTATTTTTTGAGCCTTGACTTAAACTTTAGACACCCCCAAAAATCGCCACTCTCCTTCACTAGAATAATAGGATAACTTCAGTGCTGGAATTGTTAATCTCTGCTGAACAAAAGGTAAAAGGAGCTGTTAACTTGAAAACTACCCCTTCATGACATCACAAGGTGGAACAGAACATTTTGAGCTTTGGACATGTAGACAGACTAATAATAAAAAGTTACTCAAACATGTGTGAATGAAACAAAACACAACTCCAGGTCTGTTTTTGAGGAGGAAACAACATTAGAACATGACTTAAAGCTCACAAGAGTCAGTTTTGTGTAAAATAGGACTTTTAAAATTATAAAGACAATATAGTTGTAATGTGGTGACCAGACGTCTCTACAGTATTTACCAGGGACAGTCCCAGTTTGGAGCCCTGTGTCCAGGTTTATCAAGAACCAGTGATTTGTCCCAGTTTTATGCAAGAAATGTCCCAGGTGTCCCTAATTTTGACCAATGTGACCCCTGCCAACAGTAAAGAGAGGCTTATCATTTATTTATGTAAAATACAGATAAGCTGCTTGAAAATGATAAAACCACAAAGAAAATGTGACTGTACTGACTCACATGTTAGTCATGAATGGGTCAAATGCTGAATTTCTTTCCTTAATTACGCAATCATTTCACAATTTTATTATTACCAACCACCACAAACCTTGTCCCAGTTTTTTATTTTGAAAATCTGGTCACCCTAGTTTATAATAATCTGTATGCATGAAGGTCTAATTCAAGTATGTAACTACTTTTCTGCTTTAATATGTAGTGTACCTATGAATTTAGGTTTTCTCACATCAACTACAACTCATATTTTTGGCTGAATCATGAACACTGGGCTGATCTGGAGCCTTTCTCATGTCGTTAGCCCGTTAACCTGTTATCATTAGCCCGTTTAGTTGTGAGTCAAAGGAGCTCAGTGCAGTAACTTCCTCCACATGATCCCAATATGGAGACAAGAACAGAACCAATTCATCTCATACAGTCACCACTCATGACGCAAACCTGCTGTGTGTGAAAATATTAATATACACTGTGTAACTTTCCTGCTGAATGGCCTGTCACCTGCCTGTTATTGCTTTACTTGAAAAATTCCACAATATGGGATTAAAGGCTCTATATTACGCAAAATTGACTCCAGTGAGCTTTAAGTTATCAAAAACTAGGGTGATTAGACGTCCCTATTTACCCGGGACAGTCCCAGTTTTGAGCCCCGTGTCCCTTGTCCCAGCAGATTTATACAAAACCAGTGAGTTGTCCCAGTTTTATACAAGAAATGTCCCTATTTCTGACCAATTTGATCCCTGCCAGCAGTAAAGAGGCATAAATTAATCATGTGTTTCAGTAAAATACAGAAAAGCTGTTTAAAAATGACCAAAACACAAAGAAAATGTGACTATACTGACTCACATGTTAGTCATGAGTGGATCGAGTGCAGAACAATTTTCCTTCATTACGCACTTGTTGCACAATTTTATTATTACCAGCCTCCACAAACTGATGGTGTCCCAGTTTTTTATTTTGAAATTCTGGTCACAAAAACAGACCTGGAGTTGTGTTTTGTTTCATTCACACATATTTGATCTTAAAATGCTCTCTTCCACCTTGTGATGTCACGAAGCGGTAGTTTTCAAGTTAACAGCTCCTTTTACCTTTTGTTCAGTAGAGATTGGCATTTCCAGGCCTGAAATGATCTAAATGATTCTAATGAAGGTGTGTGGAGTTTAAAAGACCCTGGAGCACTTCCTGTATTAACACATGACATCACAAGTTGGAGTGTTTTCTGTTTGAGAGAAGATCTCAGCCTAAATATGCAGGGTTTGTGTGAATGAAACAAAACACAACTCCAGGTCTAACATGATTTAAAGCTCACAAGAGTCAGTTTTCGGTAATGTTGGGCCTTTACACTTTTTGGGCACTACTCTGCACATTTATGTCCTTTTACTTTTTTAGCATCTCTGTTTTATCTTCTTGGTCATTTTCTTACTATAGGCCATAGTTTTACAGCTTGTTACTGACAGAAGACTTGAGGCAATGAGTAAATTATCAATTCACTTCCAATATTCCCTTGTACTTGCTCTTGAACTGGTTGAACTTTAAAATTATGTTAAAAAACTACCTAATTCTAACCTAATTCTTGTTTTCTCTGCACAGGTCAGGAGCGCTATGGTCACATGACGCGCGTGTACTACCGCGAGGCAGTGGGGGCGCTAGTGGTCTTTGACATGACTCGGCTCTCCACGTTTCAGGCCGTCCTCAAATGGAAAGGAGATCTGGACTCAAAGGTACAAAAGTATTTTTAAAGGGCTCATATTACGCTGTTTTCTCATCTATGTTATAATGTTTTTCTCATCAAAAAACCTGGAGTTGTTTTGTTTCACGGATTTTCAATATTTGGGCGTTAGTTCTTCTCTCACAGAAATCACTCTGTTTCACCTAGTGCTCCACTGTGTTTTTAAACTTCATGCACCTTCACTAGAATCATTTGGATAAATTCAGCCCTGGAATTGCCAATTTCTACTGAATTAAAGGTAAAAGGATCTGTTAAAACTACCACTACATGACATCACAACGTGGAACAGAGCATTTATAGCTTTGGAGATGCAGACAGACAAATAATAAAGGATTGCTCAAACACAAAGCTGCTTAAAAATGACCAAAACACAAAGAAAATGTGACTATAATGACTCACATGTCAGTCATTAGATCATTTCACAATTTTATTATTACCAACCACCACAAACCGGGGATGTCCCAGTTTCCCAGTTATTAAATCTGGTCATCCTAGTAGTTTATAATAATCTGTATGCATGAAGGTCTAATTAAAGGTGAACTATGTAACTTTTCTGCTTTAACTTGTAGTGTAGTCATGAATTAAAACAAACCACAAAAAAAAAAAAATCACTATAGGTTTCATCACATTAATTACAACTCGTGTTACTCTTACGTCATATCAGCTGATTCACTTTTGCAGAAGTGTTGAGCATATTTTTTGCATGATGTCATGTGGTAATACAGGAAGTGCTCCATTTAAACTCCATACACTTTCACTAGAATCATTAAGAGAATTTCAGTGCTGGACTTGACAATCTCTGCTGAACTAAAGGTAAAATGTAGCTTTTAACTTCAAAACTTCATGACATCACAAGGGGGAACAGAGCATTTACAGCTTTGGAGATGTAGACAGACTAATAATAAAAAGTTACTGAAACATGTGTGAATGAAAGTTGAAAGAGTCAATTTTGTGTTATCCAGGACCTTTAATATTTGGTTTATGGTCATGTAAATGTAAAGATGCAATATAATTTGGTTATTTGTTGTTTATAAGCTTATTTCTCCCTTGTGTGTTCTACAGGTGGCGCTGAGTAACGGCCGGCCAGTTCCTGCGGTTCTTTTGGCCAATAAAAGTGACCAGCGTCGCTTGGGCCTCTGCTCCAAAGTGCCCAAACTGGAGTCCTTCTCACAGCAGTACGGCTTCGTGGGCTGGTTTGAGACTTCAGCTAAGGTCTGTGCTAACATCACCTTCACTCACAGCTTTCACAAGTTTGATACTTTGCGGTGATATCACTGACATCATGCTGGGAGTGTTTTACGCGTATCTCTGTGGTGGAATGTTCAGCTGTTGCCACGGAAAAACATTGAAACACACACTAGCAAACACAGCCAAAAAAGTTTTAATATAGTCTGACAACTTTAGAAAAGACACAAAATGGATTAAAACTATCGATCTCCATAGTGACAATCAGGGGCCTCATTTATAAAAGACTGTCCCCATAAAAGGACAGCACACGACAAAGTTAGATTACTGTATTTTTCGGACTATAAGTCGCTCTAGAGTACAAGTCGCACCAGTCAAAAAATGTGTAATGAAGAAAAAAAAAACATATGTAAGTCACACCAGAGTATAAGTTACACTTTTTAATGGAAATTTATTTTATAAAATCAGAGACCAGGAACCGACATTTCATCTTGAAAGTCAAGTTCTAGTAAAAACAATAGAACAGAGAACAACAGACTGTTAACGTCACATATGAACAGTTCTTCAGATAAATATAACATAAACAACAGAACAGAACAAGTTTACCAAACTCTCCATCTCACTCCAAATCACTAAATCCATTGAATTCTTCATCCTTGATGTCACTTCTGAGCAACTCCACGACCTCTGGACGTAAATGGAGCACTGCTTCCTCTTCTGTGTAGCTGTCGTCAGACTCAGCATCAGTTCCAGTTAGAATTATTCTGGCCTTTCTGAATCCCGACAGGATGGTTGTGCCATTGAAGTCCGATGACTTCCAGGAAAGTTGCATGGTGCACCCTCCCCATTGTCACAAGTTTCTTGCTCACTCCAAACTTTCTTTCTGCTGCTCGATTACTGTTTTTGGATGCATATTTCACTACTTGCAGCAGGACAGCAGCTCTTTCTGCAGGAGACATGCACAGTAGGGTGCAAAGTGACAGTGGTACATGGTGGTACAGTAGTAAGAGGAGTAGCAGATACTGGCACATAAGCCTAGAGCGCCCTCTCGTGGCTGTCAGTGTGAACATTTTAATGTATAAATCGCACTGGAGTATAAGTCGCTGGACCTCCCAAACCATGAAAAATACAGTAATTACATTTTTGTGCTGTACTGAGGGCTCTCACTGCTAGCTCAGTCTTTGTTATCGATGTCATCAGAGGTATAATGCTCCCTACAACAGAAGCATAACTAAACTAAACTAGATTGTGATCAGACTGGACTAGACTGGAATGGATCACACTATACATGTACATTTGTCTGTTGTAAACTTGGGAGCAGTCGTCACTATTGTTCCTTTGTCCATTGTTTTCAACACTAGTCTCTCTGTGTTTGGAAGAAGGAGATACTGGATATACATTTACATACACATGCATTCACTTGTTCAGCGCTAAATGGCAGCACTGATTTATAAAAAGCTCTTCCAGTTGCCATTAGAGATAAAACTTTTAAGGTTTTAGAATGTCTTTTTTTAGTATCTGAGTAAGCTAGATCTAATTAAAGCAGTCCTATTATGAAAAATTGACTTTACAGAGCTTTTAACCAGGTCTCCCCTCACCTTTTACTCACTCTAAGTTGTACTTGGAGTGATTTGTGCATCTTTAATCTTGATCAGCTCCCATTTTTACTGCTACTGATAAACACCCACTGCACTGTACCTACTTAGTTCCATGTTATAATATTGTTATCACACATGTTTGAGTAACCCTTTATTATTTGTCTGTTTACATCTCCAAAGCTCAAAATGCTCTGTTACACCTTGTGATGTCATGTAGTGGTTGTTTTAACAGTTACCTTTTACGTTTTGTTCAGTGGAGATTGGAAATTTCAGGGCTGAAATTATCCAAATGAGTCTAGTGAATGTGCATGGAGTTTAAAAACATAGTGGAGCACTTCTTGTATTACCACATGACATCACAAGGTGGGGCAGAGTGTTTTTCGTTTGAGAGAAAAACTCAGTGTAAATATGCAGGGTTTGTGCTTTAAACATGTGTGAATGAAACAAAACACAACTACAGGTCTGTTTATGATGAGGAAACAACATTATAACATAGTAAAATAGGCTCTTTAAGTTCACCATTCATCCTTTTGCTTTGTTTTGACCCTTTAATTGTCTCTTCTTTGTTCCAGGACAACACAAACATTGACAGCGCCATGACTTGTTTGGTGAAGCACATCATGTCACTGCAGGAGGACGGCCTTACCTCGGACCCATCACCAGAGGGCGCTGTGCTGGTGCTGCCACAGTTCGACTACCACCTCCGAGAGAAGAGGCACAGCAGCTGCACCGGTTGCCCTTCCCTCAAAGCCACCGACTCAGACGATTAAAGCTACATTCAGGAACTTGACACTGTTTCTTTGGCTCCTACTGTTCTCTTTCAGTGTATTTATCACATGTATTTATTCCCTATGGATGCTGTTAGAAAAAACAAAACAAAAAACATTAATATAACAAAGATTTTTTTTATACATAACCCAATTAAAGTCACATGTTAACAAATATGTGATAGTTATAGAAATATGGACATTTTTAACACATAACTTGTATTTGAAATGTATAGTTGTTTTTATTATTTAAAATAAATCAACTGCTGTCAATTCAAACTAGTGTTGTCATGGTACTAAAATTTCAAACTCAATTTTAATACTAAATAGACTCAATACTCAGCACTGATTCTGATACCACAATGATACTAAAAAAAAAAACACTTTATTTAGACAATAGAATGTGATTTTCAACATTAAATCGTAGTACTTTTTTTTCTATTCCCATGTGGTCTTATACTACATATTATATTATATTATACTTATATTCCATAGTGGTGCATGGGTGTGTACTATAGTCTATGTGCTCTTATACTTGTTCTGATACAGCTCAAGATCATTCTAAAGACATTCAGGAAAGGTTAATTTCTGTCCTGTCAATGGGACTTTTTTAGTATGGATACCTGCGAAAAATACATATCTATTTTCGATACTAGTTTTTGTATCGGCGCATCAAGAATTTCGGATTTCCGGTCATTGCACAATTCATACTGGGGAGGATTTTCCAAAAAAGTGAGAATCAAATGTCCAAATCCCAAAACTAAAATATGACAATATCAGAACCAGAAACAAAAGCGATATGGTTCAAAAGACTAGAAAAGACTGGCTTTGTCAATAGACGCATCCCTCTGGGAAAACAAACATGGTGGTTTGATGCTCACTTTTTCGGAAAATCCTTCCCAGTATGTATTGCGCAATGACCGGAAGTCCGAAATTCGTGATGCATCTATTGATTAGCATCTGATTTTCAATACTTTTTTACAACCCTAATTCAAATGCCTACTTTGAACTATTGATTTTGTTTTATTTCATCAACTCTTTGCAAAGTAACCTGCTCTATGAGATTACACAAAACAATTCTAAAACAACATTCGCCCGTGCTTGAGGAAGTTTTGGCTCATGTTTTTTTCTTTTTTTTTTTTTTTTTTAATTATTATTATTATTTAAATATGTAAAAAAAAAAAAAAAAAAAAGGAAATACTGAGATAACCCATGTGTTTTTATAACTCTATGTCTTGAATTATGCAGTGCTTGCGTTTCCCTGTTTGACCACCAGAGGGCCTCCTTACACTGTATTTTGAGCTGTGGATCTGCAAATGTGGAAGTAACACTTGTTCAACACCAGATGGCTGCATACAATTACATTTATTTCAGTGAAGTGACAAAAGCTTTAGACAATACTGAATGATTTGAACATTTGTGGGGTTTTTGCACCATTCCTTTAGTTTTTCAAATGGCTGATGTCTATTCTTTGAAAATACCTGAATCTGGCCACTATTCAATGTAGAGAAGGTTTTCAGTGGCATGTTGTTATTTTACGTAGAGACATTCAGTATATTTGAAGAATGTTTTGTAGCTCTGATTGAAGAAGCATTTGTACTGTGCTGAGGATTTGTTTTTTTTAGGGTTGGTCAAAATGTCCGTACATGTTTACTTTGGATGACAGTAGCTCAGCTGGTTGATCGTTTTGTCCACTGACCCACAGGTTGGCTCTGCGATTCCAGCTCCCACAAATGCTGTCATTGTGTCCTTGGGCAAGACATTTAACCCCCTAATCCCCAGAGTATGTGCACACTGGTGTATGAATGTGTGTGCATGGGTGAGTGGTGTAAAGTGCTCTAAGAGCCTTGATTGAAACTGATCCATTATCATTAAACTGATACTACTTCCCCTATCATTGTTACTACTACTACTACTATTATATTACTTCAATCATTATGCATTATTCATTTACTCCACGCTCAATGGTGATAAGAATCAAGATTTTATTGTCATAGATAAAGAAAAAGAAATTACCTCGAGTCTAGAGCATCAAACGCAGTATAGTTTTGCTGTAAAGTGCAATACCCCATAAATGACCCCAGTGTAAATATGAACACAATAATGGCATTCATTATATCAGAGATCTCCAACCTTTTTCCTCCGGTGAGCTACTTTTATAAAACAAAAATGCCAGAGAGCTACTAGTTTTAGTAGTTGCAAGAAATGTAATCAATGCAAAAAAAAAAAAAAAGAGAGTAAGTCTTAAATTGGGCACAGTTAGATGCCTGTAAAACATAAACCATTCTCTATTTATTAGACTTAGATGAATTTTATTGATGCACAAGGGAAATTATGTGGACACAGTAGCTCACACATCACAATATAATATAATAACAAAGAGTAAAAACTATAAATGGTAATAAATTCTAAATAAGTAGCAAAAAAGATAGTAAGAGACACAAGACATAACTATATGCACAAGTCAAAATAAAATAGAATTATAAGTGCACAAAATTGAAAATTATACATTTCCAATGGCAATAGGAATTTAATTAATCAAACTGTAGTTATAAGCAAAGTACATATAATTCAGAAATCCTTTGGCGAGCTACTTGGAAGGGGGTGGAGAGCTGCTGGTGGCTCCCGAGCTACAGGTTGGAGACCCCTGCATTACATAAATAATCTTAAATTATTCTAGCCCTAGGACAGACTGACAAAAGCGAGGCTGCCAATCTGTGCCACTGGTCCCTCCCACCACCACCAATTAGTACAATACAATCAATATTTCAATACAAGACACTGTTCTTTGTCATTTTGTCTTTCCACTGGAATTATTAAGAAAAATAACCATGATGTCTGAAATTCATGTAACCCCATAGTGGCCCAGATAGTGAGTATATCTTTGTGAATGGTCTCATATTCTCCTTATTAAATCCGCGCTGACATTGGGCACATGTCGTACAGTCTCCTCTTCGTCACTCTCCTCTTCCTCGTGTCCTCGCGTGACCCTCTCTCTCCTCCTCACTCTCGCATCATGCACCACACTCTCCCATCATGCACCACCACGCTCGGTCTGGCTCTGCCTCTGTCCCTCCACAGACACTAAAACTGCCCATTAAAAACATGCTGCAGGCTATGTTAAACTATTTACCATTAAGGTCAGAATAAAGCCCCAGACGGCATTCATTTATTCATTAAGACTCAATTATGGACACATGATCGATAGGAAATCATGTAAAATATAGATAATTACAAGAGAATTACCTAAAAGTAGTGAGTATTTAAATAGAAAACACACATTGGTAAAGGTGCATTGTGTAACTTTTCTGGTGGAGGATCCGTCGAATGCTTTTCTCCATGGAGGTTGCATATTGCCTCGTCTGGAATGTTGCACAGTATGGCATTAAACCTTTCTATCTTCATGCAGACGAAACCAGACCAAGTTACAGGTCAGATCTGTGGAGCGGCGACCCCGCTCACACTCAGAATGTCTTTTTTCTAGGTATTTTTGAGCTATAAAATCACCTGAAATTGAATAAATGTAAAGTAGAGCTGTTTAATGTCATACCGTGTAACATTCCGGAGAAATTCCATAGAAACAAGCAGGTGACGAATCCCCAAACCAAAAAGTTACATAGTGCATCTTTAAATTACAGCTTAAATTGAGACACACAAAGACACACATTTTGAAAAATATGACGATACTAACTTACAATAAATCAAACTAGTAGACAATAATAGTAGATAATAGTCTGAGGCAAATAAGGTGACCACTGCTTTAACCTTTTGTCTGAAATCCTCCTCGCTACAGTCTGGCAGGGCATCCTTGTGTCTTAACGATGATTCCTGTCTGCCGTGGGCGTGCACGTGTAGCCTCGGGAGCGCGCGTCTTTCCCACATCTGCACACCGTGTTCTCCCCACGCGCTCGAGTCAAACGAGGACACGGCGTCTGAGGACTCTCCGGGTACGACCTTAAAACGAGGAGGCGAGATATGCGAAAAAATACCGCCACCATTTTCACGTATTCACCAAGCAAAATAACGCATCTGAATGAAAATGAGCGGAAAGGTTTACGTTATCTGCGCTTTGATAAAAATAGATTTAAATTCATACTTAAAAATACCGCTTCAATGAAATCCGCGACACCTTAAAGACGTTCCAAATGTCTGTCGCGTCCAATAGCTCCGGGTTGTGTTCAAGGACCGCGGGACAAAGTAAAATTATGGGGAAAAAGGTGTGGGAAGCTGCTGAAATAAGCGTGTTTTAAAAGCTGCACTGCGTAACTTTTCTGATAGAAGGTCTGCTACCTGCTTGTCTCCGCGGAGATGTTTTTGGTGATTATAGGTGATTTTATTGGTTAAAAATACCTTAAAAAACATGTATTCTTACTTGCCTCTCCACAGATCTGATGTATAACTTATGTTTAAAGATTCTATATTAAGTAAAATTGACTCTTGTGAGCTTTAAGCCATGTTATAATGTTGTTATCTCATCGAAAACATACCTGGAGTTGTGTTTTGTTTCATTCACACATGTTTGAGTAATCCTGAATTGTCTACATCTCCAAAGCTCAAAATGCTCTGTTCCACTTTGTGATGTCATGAAGCGCTAGTTTTCAAGTTAACAGCTACATTTTATCTGTTGTTCAATAGAGATTGGCAATTCCAGGGCTGAAATGATTCAAATGATTCTAATGAAGGTGTATGGAGTTTAAAAACACAGTGGAGCACAAGGTGGACCAGAGTGTTTTACATTTGGGAGAAAAACTCAGCCTAAATGTGCAGGCTTTATTTACATGTGTGAATGAAACAAAACACAACTCCAGATTTGTTTCTAACAAGGCAAACAACATTATAACATAGATCAGAAAATAGCAAAATATAAGCCCTTTAAAAAAAAAAACATTGAACTTGACAGATTTTCTTTCATGCAAACAGTCCCTCAGATATTAACCATGAAGCAGGTCGAAACTTGATGAAATTCACCAAACATTCTCTTTGTTCCAGCTTTAAATCCTTGATCTCGGGAATCATTGTCAACACAGAATATATGGTTCTTCGCTGATTGGCTGGTGCCCGAACTCGCACTACCAGGGTTTTTGCGAACCGTCTAGTGTATTCTGATTCCTGACCTAGTCACTGGAGAGAAATTAAATTGAGCGGAGGCACTAGGTGGCGCCAGTCTGGCTAGGTCAAAACACGTTTAAAATGCAAATTATAATTTCTGCTAGTGTAATGAATTTTACTTTATATATTGGTTAACCCATAAAACACTGTTACATGCCATAAATGTGTAAATCTATAGACAGGTATGGACATAAAACAAGTGCAATTTTCATTATAGTATATTAGATGAGCTGTCAGCACATGCCCTCTTCCTGAAGGACAAACACCTGTGATTTATGACTGACTTTACTTTACATTATAACACACACACACACAGAGAGAGACAACCACACACGCTGGAACTGATGGATGGCTCCTTGATCACCTGTATTCACTGTGCTTATTTTCAGCACAAATTGCTTTAGTTGTCAGGCAAGAAAATACCACACTGCAAGATTAAAGGGCATGTTACATTATTTTCTGATCTACAGTATGTTATAATGTTGTTTACTCATCACAAACAGACCTGCAGTAGTGTTTTGATTCATTTAGACATGTTTAACACACAAACCCTGCACATTTAGACCATAGACTGAATGTATAAACGGATATAACTAACCTGCTAGCCACCACGTTACAAATAGGAAGTGAGTATGGGGACACTTCCAGCTCCACAGACTCTGGGTCCAATTCAATTTACATTGAGAAATTGTCACCCCTCTCTCTGTAACTGCTGCTGTGAGCCTCGTCATTTTGGTCTTAAAATGTTCATATTAACCCGCTCTACATGACCCTGGTGTTTTTCATTTTGACATTTTTGCCATACACTGGCTTCAAATTCTCTAGCATTGTGAGCTTCATTTGACACTATGGGTGATGTAACACACCTATACACTATAAAAATATGTGATCTTTGCATTATTTGTTATTTCAAACTCAAATATCTGCTACATGTAGTAAAATCCATGTTAACTAATTCAACTTTATATATCCTATTGGTTATAGAGGGTTATAAAGTTAAAATCTTGTTGCTTACATCATGCCTATGTAAAATAATCTACTATACTACATCTCCAAAACTCAAAATGCTGTCTTCCACCTTGTGATGTCATGAAGCAGTATTCTTCCTATGACCTTTTGTATATTTTATTACATATTTTTATATTTTATTTTGACTTGTACATATACATTTATATAATTATGCCTTATTTGACACAAGTTTCTTGCTATCTTTTTGCTACTTATTTAGAATTTATTATTTCTATTGATATTTTTTACTCTTTGTTATTATATTATATTGTGATGTGTGAGCTATAGTGTCCAAATAATTTTCCTTGTGGATCAATACAGTTCATCTAAGTCTAAGTCTAAGCAGTAGTTTGAAAGTTATCAGCTAGTTTTTACCTTTAGTTCAATAGAGAGAGGCAATTCCAGGGCTGAAAATAATCAAAATGGAGTTTAAAGTTTAAAGTTTAGCACACCCTGTATATTTGTTCATAGTATATATTGTTTACAATACATCTGCTTATATACCCCCCATGTATATTATACCCCATTCCCTCCTGTTCATACTGCCATATTTATTTATATATATTCATTACAATCTACACTGTAATATACTGTATATTGTCTATATTGTGGATACTGTATCGCACTTACTGCTCCTTGCACTTCTGATTAGATGCTAAACCACATTTCGTTACCTTGTATTTATACATGTGTAAGGACAATAAATTTAAATCTAATCTAATCTAAAAACACAGTGGAACACTTCTTATATTACCACAAGACATCACAAAGTGCAAGAGTTTTCAGTTTGAGAGAAGAACTAAACCTAAAAAAGGGGGTTTGTGTGTTAAACATGTGTAACTGAAACAAAACACAACTCATGGATCAGAAAATAGTGTAATATATGCGCTTTTATTAAATAATAGCTGAAACATGGATGAATACCTGCATGAAAGTAGAATTACACTGTTATTACAGATAATTGTAATTTCCGACCGCAGCAGAGTCGGTGAAGGCGCACAGTTGTGAGATCAGCTGATTTTTCACGCTGCCATTTTGTCCGGCTCCGGCAGAGGCACCAGGCACCAGCCACAGTCCGACACACGGAGCTCCCACACGGGCTACACTTCACCCACACACCGTCACTGCACCGGAGCGCGGAGCCCCTTCTGACAGCCGCCCAACCACACCTCCGTCCCGGGAAGACTGTGCCCTGCCTACCCCCGGCCAGCACCTCCAACCGCAACACCCAGGGGAAGGACGGAAAGGGGGGGACTGTCTGGCTGAACTTGCCCCGTCTGCCGGCTTCGCTGCTCGGTCACAGCCTTGACGTTCTCCCGCTGTCTGTCTGGAGGCTGGAGCTGCTAGCCGCGCTGCTAACGAGCACCCACCCCGTCTTTGCGTCTCCTTTTGCGGGGAAAAAAGACACCTGTCCCGGCTGTCAACACCTTAAAACGCTTTTAAACTTTTCAGACAATGCGCTGCTCAATTTTTAACTACTTTTTACAAGACTTTTGCTCGTTTTTATCTCGTTACTTGTGAAATCTCGCATCTTATAACTTCAAGAAGGAGGAGGAACTGTTTTGCAACTCAATTTTTGGGACTAACTTCAGTATTTTGACATATTTTCTTTGTCGTGACGCTTTAAAAGTTACAAACCAGCCAAATAGCTATGATAAATTGTGGCCAAAAAGTCAATTTCAGTATTTATAAGATTTACTGGGAGACTCTTTACTATTTGTGCAAAGAAAACATTTGCTTTTGCAGCTAACACCAACTAGCTGGCTTTAGTTAGATTGCGAGTTAGATTGCGAGTTAGATTCCTGCATATTTACCAGGCAAGCTGCAAATCTGTTACACATATTTTTACATAGAATTGCATAGATTTTTTTGGGAGAATTACCGTGCCATTTTCGCTCGCTTTGCACAAGAGTGAAAGTATCGATCAGTGGGATTATTGTGCTGTTTTAGCTGATTGGAAAAGGCCAAACGAAAACGAAAGAAAGGGAAAGAGAGGAGAAATATGTCGGGCCAATCTCTCACGGACCGTATAGCGGCGGCTCAGCATAGCATGACCGGCTCCGCCATCGGCAAAGCGGTGTGCAAGGCGACTACACACGAAGTCAGCGGGCCCAAGAAAAAACACCTCGACTGTGAGTAGACAGTTTCATTTATGTTTGGAAAAATGCCTTTAAATGTCTCTATATTACGCTATTTTCTGATCTATGTTATGGAAAACATACATGAAGCTGTGTTTTGTTTCATTCACACATGTTTAACACATAAACCCTGCATACTTGTGATGTCATGTGCAGGGATGTGCAAAAATATTGAAATATCGATATATTGTATTGTTTAAATTGATGATACAGTATCGATATCATGGGCTGCTGTATCAGTATATCGCCGAGAGTATTTTTAGGTATATTTTATTTACTAAATAGATTTTGTGTAAGAGCGACAATTGTTTTGACATTTCTGCTGTTTTGAGTAAAATGGGTGTTTTTCATTAGTCTGATTCTTCAGTCGGTTTCACTTAGTGGAAACCATCTGACCTCGCAGCATTAGGATTCGTTCGCTCAACGGTAGGCGGGTACTTTTTTATTTAACAGTCACTGCTATTTGGTTGTGACGTATGTAATGCGCCAAATCCGGTAGGAAGAAGGACAATAACGTCTTTCCCCTTGATAAAATTCACCAAACATTCTCTTTGTTCCGGCTTTAAATCCTCGATCTCGGGAATCGTTGCCAACACAGAATGCCTGTCTTTGTCTACATCCATCTCGACCGCTTTGTTTACTGTTGTGCTGCATCACAAAAGGGACACAGACAGGCGCTTGAGTTTGACGTCATGGCTTCACAGCTCTTCGCTGATTGGCTGGTGCGCGGTCTACAACTTCCGGGGTTCTTGCAAACCGTCTAGTTTATTCTGATTCTTGACCTAGTCACTGGAGAAAAATGAAATTGAGCAGAGGCACAAGGTGGCGCCAACCTGGATAGTTTTTCATATTAACTTTGCACAAACTTAGTGGACTTAGTAGACTTTTAGTGTCACAGCCATGATTTAGTATCGAATAGATTTGAAATATAGCATATCGATTCGTACTGAATCAAAAGTGCACTGTTTTGAAAAGTGTATCGTGGCCTATGTATCAAGATATGTATCGTATCAACAACTTCTTAATGATACCCAGCCCTGGTCATGTGGTAATTCAGGACGTGCTCCACTGTGTTTTTAAACTCCATACACCTTCACTAGAATCATTTGGAAGATTTCAGTCAGGGCTTGTCAATCTCTACTGAACTAAAGGTAAAATTCAGCTGTTGAAGCTTAAAAATTACGAATACATGACATCACAAGGTGGAACAGAGCATTTTGAGCTTTGGAGATGTTGACATTAATAATAAAATGTTACGCAAACATGTGTGAATGGAACAAAACACAGCTCCAGGTCTGTTTTTGATGAGGTAACAGCATTATAACAAGGCTTAAGCTTAAAGCACAACTCAGTTTTGTGTAATATATGACCTAAAGAAGAAGACTGAACATGTTTTTTTCTGTTCTTTTGTATTGCACTATAATAAGTAGAACATTATTTTATATTCTGTGCTTTGTAAACCTCAATATTGATGTATAGCTGATTGCCAATGGAAACTGGTCCACTGATTTCCTGTTCAAAACTGCAGAAGTTGCACCTCTGCATAGTGGCATTTCACTCTAGCAACCAGCTGTTTAGTTTGCTTGTTTGTTTATTTTTAGTTACTTGTTTTTGTAGTTGAAAATGGCTGTGACATTTTTAAGAAGAGAAGATGTGGGCGGGGATAGGTGGCAGGTGAAAACAGGGATTTTCTGAGCATTCAAGTTTCAAGTACAGGAAAAAACTGGATTAGTCAAACGTGCGTAAAGCCTTCGAAGTGTGAAACTAATGATGACGGAGCACTTTTAGAACATGGTTAAAGGCTTAGTTGGTTTTACATAATACGCCCCCTTTAAAGGTGAAAGAGTTGGTTGCCAATCAGAATCAGTTTGTCAAAAAAATTTAGTAATCACTGAAAATACTGTGTACTTTTTTGTAACAGTGTGTGTCTTCTACAAGTATAGTTAATGTACCAGTAATGCTTGGAAGTTAGTTGGCTGGTTGTCTGGACTAAACCGTGATTAGACGAGGACTAAACCAGGACTAGACCAGGGCTGGACAAGGGATAACACAGGACTAAACCCGGACTAGAACAGGAGGACTAGACCAGAATTAAACCAGGACTAAATATGGGATAAAACAGGTCAAAATTAGAATTAAGCCAGAATTAAACCAGGACTAACCAGGACTAAACTGGAACTAAATCAGGACTAGAACAGGAGGACTAGACCAGGATTAGACTAGGACTAAACCAGGACTAAACCAGGGCTGAAGAAGGTATAAACAGGACAAAAACAGAATTAAACTAGGACTAAACCAGGACTAGACCAAAATTAAACCAGGACTAGACCAAGAGTAGACCTGAATTAAACCAGGACTAGACCAGAATTAAACCAGAACCAAACCAGATTTAAAACAAGACTAAACCAGGACTAGGCCAGAATTAAAGCAGGACTAAACCAGTTCTAAACCAGACTAGACCAGGACTAGACCTGAATTAAAATAGAACTAAACCAAAGGGGGTATTTTACTTCTATGTGATACGAATTACTAACACAGAACATACATAGAGCACCATGTTACCTTTTATTGTATTATTATTGTGCAGAATCTTAGAGTTAACCGTAAAGAGGGTTTGAATAGGGCTCAGGAGAGATCACTAGATTACTAAAACATGCATGGATGATATCTAAAACCACCTCAGGCACGTTTTTAATGAAGGAACAATGCTATAATCAGTGTTGGGAGTAACGTGTTATAAAAGTAATGAATTACTGTAATGCATTGCTTTTTGCAGTAACGCAGTAATCTAAGGCATTACAGGGAAAAAAAATAGTAATATTTTACTCAGTACAAATGTCAGTAATGCACGTTACAATGCTTTTTTAAGCATTGAAGTGGTGGGTTTTTCACCGCAATATCAGCAGCGGTGAAACACCAGAGACGCGTCCGCGTAAACCGTGACTGTAGGCGAAAGGACTGGAGCAGAATTCCGTGCTCCACGGGGCTAACCGCAACTGACGCCCGATCGCACCTTGCAGACACCCTGCTCCACGAGCTTGGGGTTCTCTCAGGGGCGGTCCTAGATTCCAAGTTCTAGTCCAAGATTAGTCCTGGTTTAGTCTTGGTTTAGACCTGGTTTAATCCTTGTTTTGACCTGGTTTAGACCTGGGTCAGTCCTGGTTCAGCTCTGGTTTAGTCCTAGTTTAGTCCTGGTTTAGACTTGGTTTAGACCTAATTTAGTCCTGGTTTAGTCCTCGGTTCAGTCCTGGTTTATACCTGGTTTAGTTCTGGTTTAGTCCTGGTTCAGTCCTGGTTTAGTCCTGGTTCGGTCTGGGTTTAGCTCTGGTTCAGCTCTGGTTTGGTCCTGGTTCAGTCCTGGTTTAGTCCTGGTTCGGTCTGGGTTTAGCTCTGGTTCAGCTCTGGTTTGGTCCTGGTTCAGTCCTGGTTTAGTCCTGGTTCGGTCTGGGTTTAGCTCTGGTTCAGCTCTGGTTTGGTCCTGGTTCAGTCCTGGTTTAGTTCTGGTTCTGTCCATATACACCGTAAAAGTTCAACATATTTTGGTGAGAGTAACTTAAAAGGAATACTATAGTAATGTAATGTCCTACATTTTAAATGCAGTAATATTGTAATGTAACAAATTACTTTGAAATGACAGTAATAAGTCATAAATAACTCATTACAGTTTTAAAGTAACTTGCCCAACAGTGCTTATAATACAGTAGAAAGCTCAAAGAAGTAAATTTTTGCATAATACGCCTCTTTAAAGAAATAGGATCAAAGTGAAAGAGTGGTTAGGGTCATGTTTAATGCTGTTTTATTACACTGTGAGCAAAGGAACGTGAAAGCTGACAGAGGCACTATTGGCTCCATCGGCTATTGGAGTTTTAGCGTTTGATTGGCACTGGCTTTTGGTAGGATTTCATGACGAAGCTTAAAGGGCCCATATTACGCCGTTTTCTAATCTATGTTATAACGTTGTTTCCTCATCACAAACAGACCTGGAGTTGTGTTTTGTTTCATTCACAGTTGGAACGGAGCATTTTGAGCTTTGGAGATGTAGACAGAATAATAATAAAGGATTACTTCTCAAACATGTGTGAATGAAACAAAACACAACTCCAGGTATTTGGTTTTTGAGGAGGAAACAACATTATAACACGGCTTAAAGCTCACAAGAGTCAATTTTGTGTAATTTGTGTTTTCTGGACCATTAAAGTACCATAATTTCCTCCACAAACAACATTTCCTGTCTTATTCTGCATAAAAAAGGCTAACCCTGTAGTTTAAATCTGTACAAACATGTTCTGAAGTGTGATTCTTGTATTTGTTTGTCAGTTCACATTTCAGTCTTTTTGTCAATTCTTCTGGACCACCACTGATGTGACTGAAGAAAGTGCATAGGACAGGTTTTCATGTTTCTAATTCTGACTTGGTTTGGTGCGATACTACCTGTGGTCAATATGTCAAATAGCTTTACATCAGTTAAGTGTCAGTTTGTGGAGAAAAGTTGTGAAAAAAGTTGCAAACTACAGGAAGTACCGCTGTGTTCTAATAAACTCTCTCTCTTATCTGTGTCATCAATACACAAAATTTATTCCGAAATGCTGAGAATGATTGAAAAACTGTGTTGTTTGTGAGTACAATTTAAACCTTCATTTAAAGGTGCATTGTGTAACTTTTCTGGTGGAGTCTAACGTGAAATGCTTTTCTCCATGGAGATGTTATTGCTTTGCTTTGGTATGGTATGAAATAGGGCTGTGCAAAAATATTGAAATTGCGATGTATCGTATGGTTTAATGTGATGTTACAGTATCGATATTGTGGGCTGCTGTATCGATATATTGCCAAGAGTATTTTTTTGTATATTTTATTATATTATTTTGTTACAGTGCTACAGTTTTGTTTCTTGTGTAGAGGAAGAAAACTAATTTATGCAGCACTTTTAACATTTAAATCTGTGTGTTTCATATTCACTTTGCACAAGTGGATAAATACTTTTAATATCACAGCCA